TAGTATGCCTATATGTAAATCGAGTAATAAAGGCTACATTGTGTAGTCTAATTATGTGTACTTCGAACCACCTTATTCATCCGTAGAAGATAAGACCCTTCTACCTACCCAAGCTAATACAATGTTTTTTATTTTTTGAATGTTGTGCCAAAGGAGATATGATATGCTAGCAATGGTGGGAGGGCTCTCTTGAGTATCGGATCGGAATCCATGAAGGTGATTGAACATTGGAAATTATCGTTTTCTACTGTTGTTGAGCAGAGAGGGTGGAAAGAAACGTGATGGTGAATTCTTGTTTGGCATCTGTGTCCTTTTGAGTGTCTATTAATAGAAGGAGCCAAATCAAATTTCCTCCATGTTTTGTTCCATTTCAGGACAAGGCCACATGCTACATGCCCCACCCTCATCAACTTTACAACCCCCTAATGGACCCATTTCCCAAATCAAATGCTCTCACACAGTAGTTCACCACCCATCTTCAAACCCCCCTTTTCTCTTTTCCTTTGAATTTAACTCGTACAAATTTAATGTCTTTAACTAAGTAAATGAATCTGAGGTGACATCCCATGTTACCATCTCTATCGAGAGTCCAAGGAATCGAGCTTAGCAAGAGGCCTACTAAACTAAAGGCTTCAACTATAATTCTTTGTGTTTCTTTCCTATGAACATAATTAATGAGAGGAATGTTTGAGTCGCCTATTGATGACAAGACATACCCAGTGCCCCCGAGTTGATATATGCGTATTGAATGGTTGATAAATCTATTAGTAAGCAAGTGCTTCAAAAAGCAAAATTATTTATCTGCATTAACATAAAGCATGACAACAAAATCTAATAATTGGCGGGAAGACTACTTCTGCTCTACCAATTTGATATGTCACCCACCCATTTTCTTTAATTTTCCTTTTCAAACATGGTTGTGGCTTTTCCAATCACTTCATTATATTCTCTTCAATTATGATAATGATTTTGGGTCATTTCATATACGTCATCTAATTGGCAAATCTTTTTAGGGACATCCATAACTATTACTAAGTTTTTAGTGTACTCTAACACTACCTCAAACCAGCTACCCCAATCTCAATGAATGAAATAAGTATGTGTATAAACCATGGATGTGTTGAAAAACGAGATTGTATTCAGCCATATATGATAGCATACAAATTACAAAGTAAGCACCGTCGTTCTTAACCAAGACTCAAGTTAAGCTCTATCTCAAAATCTCATGAAGTTAGGAGTAAAGCATCTTTAGATTAACTCATCTCGTTAGATGTAGAGAAATATTGAGAACCAAAATAGTTTAGCCCTATTCCAATACATACACATAAGTCCTCGCTCCACATTCTTATCGAGTGATCCATGAATCTGCCTATGATTTAGTTATGTAATAATTAAATTCAATATTATCCTACTATATTAATTTTTCTTTTTTATGTTGACTTAACCTTCGTTCAAGTAAGTTCCAACGATATTTTAACTTGATTAATGAAAGAATTAATCCCAATAATTTTGCCAGTGAATTTTCTTACATGACCCCATAACCCACTTTTAGATTGATAATCATGTATCCTAATTGGTAATTAAAGAATAGATTACACCCAATTATTTATCCACTTACCCACCACTTCGTTTTGTCAATTCCACTCAACTACCTTATCCACCTCTTTATCTTCCATAGATTGGCACAAATTATCATGTGTGGGTGTTCATATTCTCCCCCCCATCAAATAAACTATGGACACAGTAAAGCAAAGAATAAGAGTATCTATTGAAACAAAATACTCACAATATCTAAATTATATCATCACAGATGTTGATGGGTCTGATTTTGATACCATTTTCATTGGCTCTGTGTTGTATAATATACTATATTGATGCATCAGTAATGTAATTAATTGAGAGGACACTTGAAAGTGGGCAGGGAAGAGAGAAAAAAATAAATAAAATATACAAAAGCAATCATTAAAGATGGTTAATTTGTAGCAACCCCACTTGCTGCAAATTAAGAAATAACCAAACAAAGGAAAGTTCGATTCATTGAGTACACAAAAATTCTGTTGGGTTATTGTTTAATACGAGTACTTTGTTCCCTCTAAGTGTGTGATTAATTAATATTAAGGAATTAAATAACTTATCTCCAAAGTTTAATGAACTGAGGATTTTACAAATTTGGGGGCTCATTTCTTTGCTAAAACCCTAATTTCTTAACCATGTTTGAAGCTGAAATGAATGGTTTAGGGTTTGGTTTGAAAGGTATTATCAACTTTTGCAGAAACTGAGCTTCCCCTTTTGACTGTCCAACCATGAATGCCACCCATCGTAAAGCCTTTTTGTTAATAATTGAACCACCTTTAACAGCTGCAACCGAGAACAGAAAAAATATATATTTATATATTAATATGATTTTGTTTTTTGGTGGTTGGATTTATGTATATATGTTCATATGCCTTTTTTTAATCTTTTTTGGTAGCTTCGTTTCATCACATATAATTAGAACAACATTAAATGAAAATTAATGACATAATTTTGTATAGTCGGTATCATTGATTTTATTTGTCATTTATATGCCAACTTCTTATTTGCTTTCCTTTCTTTCTTTGTTTTCTTCCATTTAAAATTTGTGTTACTTTATGTAATAAAGTGATGGAGCTTTGTACATATCAACTTTCTAATTTAATTTAATTTACTTTACTTTACTTTAGGTTTAAATTATACGACCATCTAGAAAACAAATTTAACACGTCATAAATGGAACTAGAATTGTAATGTTCTTATGTCCCACGGTTACGATTCAAGTCAAAATATAGATTTTGATATTTTATGACTTCGTTATTCTCATCTTTCCCTTTCGAGCTTCTCCTCATAAAACGCGTCTGGTAAGGTGAGGTTTCCACACCCTTATAAAGGGTGTTTTGTTTTCCTCCCCAACTAACGTGGGACATCACAGGAAGCTTAGAAGAAAAGGTTAGCTTACTTAATGTGGACTTAGACGGTTACAAATAGTATTATAGTTAGAAGAGTGAACAGTGCGTCTCGTCTCAAATGAACAAAGGTAAGAAATGAAATTAATCAAATCAAAAAATAAAAAAAAAAAAAATGGAAAGAGTGGGATTTGGTTTGGATTTGTTTAAAAGAGAAATATTCTGTTGATTAAATAAAGTTTAGGTTAATAATCAAAGGAAGCAATAGGATAAGACAGAGTTAGTGGGGGAAGGATTAAATGATTTAAGTTTATAACATATTCAAATAACATAAAGCCATTTTTAGCTTATTGGATACTAAATTCATAATTAAAAGAAAAATAAAGGCATACAGTGTCCCTGACGTGTACGTGAAGTGGGGGATTGGACGTTTCTTCACAAACCAACACTTCTTTTCTTAGGGCTTTCAATTATTTATTTATTTTCGATTTTTAATTTAAACTCCCTACAAACTTATTTTAATTATCCATAAAATTTCAAAATGTTTAATTAACTATTTGTATTAAAAAAAAAAATTTAGTCCCAAAATGTTATTATTATCATTATGTAAATGGAAATAATTAGTTCATCAAAATGCTTATTCGAAAATAAACAGCTTTTTATTTAAAAGAAAGTTGCTAAAATAATTGATATTACATTAAATTATAACGATTGCTATTTTATTATGATATCAACACTCGAAGATTAGCTAAAAAATAGCTGAAATAGATTATTAATTATGAATTTGGATTGATATGAAGGCATAAATGCCACTTTAATTAACATTTTTTAATTAAATATTATTTAATTTTGAAACAACATACTTAATAATTAGTGAGATAGCATAAAGTGTACGAATGTAATAGAAAATTAAAAAAAAAAAAAAAAAAAGGAAATTAAAAATTCCACTCCCAATAGAGTCGCAGTTCGGTGGAAAGGGGTTTATAAGTTTATGTTTCCACATAAATTAATTATATTTCAGCTGCGTTACACATACGAACGCCTCCGCCAGGTGGTGGTGGTGGGGACGACGGCGCCACTCCTTATTGTTTATGTTGTTTCTTCCACTCTAAATTTTATATATATACCAAATATTGACGTGTACATTCCAAGTGGATGAGGATAGGCTTGAGTGTACAATTTCATAAAGACATGTAGTAAATGATTTTGGTACGTTTTGTTTTTCCTTTTTGAAGCGTAGAGAGTAATACTTTTGGTGTGGGGCTGAACACATTATTATTAGGATAAGGTGTTTGGTGAAATATTTGTTAAAACTCGTCCTATCATCATTAATTTATGTGATGTCCAACGATTTAAATTAAAGTGACGTAGCCCATTTTTTTTATATTTATCGTAAATCCACTTTCATTGTCATAAAACATGTCCCGAATTTGTATTAGAAAAAATAGTCTAGAGACAACATTGATAGAACCCTCCTCTGCCAATATTAAACCTATGGTAATAAAATTGGTATATGTTAAATAAATATGCACTATTTATTTATTTATTTTAGGTGATGCCGTCTTTTATTTTATTTATTTATTTATAAATTTAGGTTGAAGAAAATGGGTAAATTTACCAACTTCTAAACAATTCCGTTATATTTACAGTGGGACCCGTAAGGGTGTAGATGTCCTGAATGGCGTACTAGGCCCGTACGGTAGGACTGAGATTGAAAAAAAGTTTTAAATTTTAATTTAAATTGAGAAAAAAAAAAGGCTTAAAGAAGGAAAAATGGGTATTGTGGTTTATATTATATAATTGTATTTGTTGCCAAACGTCCCAGGAATCGGGTCCCTGACATAATCACTCAAGGCTTATTACCAAACAGCCCTCTGGTGCGGTTTACTGTTTTGTAAGATATCAATGAATCAGAGGGCGGCGGGACCCACCTCTCCACCATCTGACCCCACTTTTAACTTATTATGACGTCATTAATATTTTCTACTCATTCAAATTTACCCTTTTTACTTTTTTTTTCCTTTAATTTTTACCTCTCTCTCTATATCTATAAATAAAACGGTTCACGCCCCCACTCAGCTTCAACCATCTCTTCTCAACTCTCCCTCTACAATTCGCCAAATACACGGAAAAAAAAAAAGTAAAGCTTTGTAACAATGGCGGCCAGCAGAGAGCCCTTCAACGTGTTGCCGCACTCAGCAGCGCCGGCGGCTAACCTACAGCAACAACAGCACTCCCCTTGGCATTCCCCTGTCCCCTACTTGTTCGGGGGTTTGGCTGCGATGTTAGGACTCATTGCTTTTGCGCTTCTTATCCTTGCTTGCTCATACTGGAAGCTTTCCGGCTACCTCGACAGTGGTGACGCTAACAACCGGGAGCCTGACCTGGAGGCCGGCGACGACACCCGGAAACCCTCCCCTGTTTTTGAAGAGAAACTCTTGGTTATTATGGCCGGTGAAATCAAGCCCACATATTTAGCTACTCCCATGTCAAGCAGGTCCTCTTCTTTTGGGGATGCGAAAAGCAATAGTAGTAGCAGCGCTACGGCCACCGGCGAAAAGGATGAAAAATCAGTGGCCGTAACGGAGACGGTGAAACAGAGCAGTGGAGAAGAGGAGGTGCAGAGTACAGAAAACAGAGAAACTCCTGAATCTTCAGATCAGACGACCCATTAACAATTTTTTAAAAAATTTTAAAATTTGGGTTTGGTTTTGTTTTGTTTTTGCTGGGCACTCATATGGGTGTCTTGTTCCGCCATTAATATTTATATTGAGAGAGAAAGAGAGAGAAAGTGGACAGCTAGCTCTTAAGTTGCAGATATTGGTTTAGGGGTTTTCCCCATCAGAAAGCCCGAAATCAAATACTACCGAGTTTTTTTCCCTCTCGGAATGAATCTTCCCCCTGTTTCAAAAGCATCCAAACTAATCTGATGTGAAACAAATCCAGTTTTAATAAAGTTGAAATCAAAACGAAGAAGATGAATTATGGTACTTCCAGGGCGCAAAGGCATTGGATTTGCAGAAGAAAGGAAGACACGTGGTTTAGTGTGCAGAAATGGGGGGAGGGCTGATGCGGCGACCTGAAACTGCATGCACCGTTTCATTTAATGGACCCTGTTTTTGCTCCAAAAAACGTCTACAATTAATAACTCACGCACATATTCAACTCTTCTGTCTTCAATCTTCAACGGCTTATTATCTGGCAATCTGCAATCTGACAGGAAACAATTACCTCTGATCGGCTTATTATTATCTTTTCCGGCCACCGTTGCTGCATAAATATTGCTTTATCCTATTATGTTTTTTTTTTTTGGACAGATTGTCGTTTTTGTATTTGGTTTTCCGAAAATGAAAAAGATTCTTTCGTCTTTTCATCAGCTACTTTGATGTGATTAATAATTTATTTTATTTTATTCTCAATTTATAATATCCTCTCTATTAACTTTCTTTTTACAAATTCTTTTTCTTTGACATAAGTTATTAAATTTAAAATTGGATTCAAAAAAATTTAAAATTACATATTAATTAAATAATGATGGGTTAATCCGTAAATTGGATTTATTTAGAAAATTTTGAGATAAGAGAAAAAGAAATAATTAGTGTTTTGAAAAATTGAGAGTAAATTAGATTTAGGGTTTCAATTATTTGAGATTGTCTCATATGTCCTTTTGGATAAGCAATTCGCTTTCATGGTTGAAGTAGTTGTCAATTAAATTGGGAAAGTTTTTCGCCAAAATTGTAACTTCTTACAAACCTTCATTTATAGGATAACCCCATATTTTCTATCCATTCATCTGAAAATATTTATTGTTTTACTAAAAGTAATAAAATATTTTTTATTATACACTTCTCTTTTGCCTCAATTTTAAAAATTTTATTATAATTTGATGAACTCTACGTGAACCACACAAATTATATCGAAAAGATTTGTGTTAGTTTGTAAAAATAATTTTTATTCTTATAAGCGAAAAGGTAAGAGTAAATAATATGATTATTGTAATATTTTTAAGATATTATTGTTTTTTTTTTTTCTTCTTCTTCTGGTATGCAAGATATTATGGTTGCAGACATGGATGAACTGTTTGAAAATAGAACAAACGGTGCGTGGAAATTGTGAGCTCAATAATAATAATAGTAAAAGAGAAAAAGACCCAAAAGGAATAAAGCTATTAAATTCAAATAATCCCCACGAAGAAAAGGCATAGGATTTGCTAATCTCTTCTTCACATAGTCTATGATAGCTTACAGAAAAATGGAAGAGAGAGAAAGTGAAAGTGAGAATGAGTTGAGAGGAGAGAGAAAGATGTTGGGGTGTTTATTGTTTCGAGGAGGTTTTGGTTTGTTAAGATCATGATGTAAAACTTGTACGACAGCAACCTAAAATATGGCAAAAAACAAGGAACCTTGTACAATCGTACCCATTGTTTTGTTTTGTTTTGTTATTTCTTAATTGTTTGTAATTGAGTATGCCTGGTTTCAGCTGAATCCAATGTCCAAATCGACCAAATACTTTACTTCTTCTGTACTTCTGTCAACTCATGGGAGTATTGATTCTGACAAAAATGTACCCATAGAAACTGTAAAAAGCAACACCAACAAAAGCAAAAGTATCGGCGGTTACAGTAGATTTTAGTAAAATCGAGGAGATTCCTATCCAACACACACAAAAGTGCCCAACAACAACGACGTGGGGAGAAGTCCCATTGAAGTTTGTTCTCATGTTTTTATAGCCTCCTGAACTTGCAATGAATACACAGTCCATGTACCCTTATGAACTCAACTTTTAACACCCATAAGATTGGAGAGTGGACAGTGAAGTGGGTTTTGGAAAATGCCATTTTGTTCGTCCACATCGTTCATTCTTGTGGTTCTCGTGATTTGAACCATATAACTTGTCTTAATTTGAATGCGATGTTGAGCATTTGGGAGGAGAAATCAAGATGTCTGCGGCGCGGCATTATATATCATTGTCTGTGCATAATGGGTCTGAAAATAACCATTCGACCATGGTTTCAATTTCAACGCTCTTGCAAGGGATGGTTGTCTGATGGGGGCCTATTTGTTAATCATTTGCTTTGAGGCCCTTTTTTGACTCATCATATACTCCATAAGGTAGCATCATGTCGGGCCGTATCAATCTCCTTGGGTCGTGGGCGTGAGAAACACAAGCGAATTGTTCGGCCTCGGCCCGATGGGATTTGGACTTTGAAGCCCACATGGTGCCTCTCTTTAGGCCCAATCAAGCTGTGGGTTATCTTTCTACACATCTAACAATGGAACAATCCCCCATGCCAGTAGCCACCCTATGTCTGCGGGTGAAGAAGTTTAAGTTGATTAAGACATTCCCCGTTGGCATCAATGGTGGATGATATGGACTGGGTATGGGGCCACGAGGATGGCAGATGTCGGCCGCCCCACATCCCACAACGACCGCCCAGTGGGCCGCAGCGCACGTGAACACACCATGCTGGAGGCCCTACCACATCACCTCCACTTGCTGCACCCCCCTTTCAATCCAGAACCCAACCCCTTCCTAAACTTTATCCATCTCTACATTAAGACGGTGACTGTTAGTAGGTATTGTATTCTTTATGGACTTTACTTGAAAGTTTTAAAACAAAATTTTATAAATAATGGTTCTTCCTGTCTCTAACTAGCGTAGGATCTCGTGGGAACATAAGTTGACTACAACCATCCTTGTTCAAAGCTTAAATGATCTCGATCTCGATCAAATATTGTTTAACAAAAATTAAAATTCGAAATACGGGAGAAGAAGATAAACAGTTGAGCACTTAAAAAATCTAAATCCAATATAAAACTCATTCTTTTGTTCTTTTTATTAGAAAAATGGGGGAAAAAACAAAACAAACAAACAAGGGAACAAAGTGGTTTGATTTTGAAGTTCCCTGTCTGCTTCTCTCGCCCTCACTGCCTGTATGTTGTGGTTGGAAGGTTAACAATCCATGTGAGAAAGAGAAGATATGCTTAATAAAAACGGTCGGCACAAAGAAAAGCAACTCATTGCCCAAAATGACCCTTGTGGAATTACTAGAACCAAAGTTTAGTTAAATGTATATATTGTTATCATAAGGTAAGTATTTGGACATATATGCATTCTAGTGACATTTTCTATTGCATTAAGCTTATTATATAAATAATAACGATATAATTCAAACCAAACCATTATAACACACGTGAATTGCGAATATTCTTTGAAGAAAATGTCGTTGATCTGATTAAGTTTTGACTTTTATATATGACTAGATATTCCACTTCTTTTTTCTTCAATTTTGACTTCATAAATCTCCGAGTGTATAAGACAAGACATCAACGTTGATACCCATTAATAATTAAAGTAAATATGATTTGAAGATTCTAGAGAGAACAAAACATATTCGTTACAATATATTTATATCTATATATGTAATAATCTAAACATATTGTTTACCAGTGTTGTTCTTTTTAGTCCGTTATGTATTGCTGTCAATCTCACAATTTTAGAACGCATACACTAGACAGAGAAGAAAATTATAAAATTACTTTTCAACGTACTTACTTTTATGAGCCACAAATGGTATGGAAGCGGTGTCTATCAAAAAGTTGTTAAAAAGGGAAGAAATAGGACCTTTGCCCCTTCACAACCCCGCGAAGAAAAAACTTTACCATCCTCGAGAAAGTTAATGATCCCAGTTTTCTCGGAAACTTATCCAAACACACGGACAACTCTGTCAAGCACCGCCCATCCTTCCATTTTTCCGGGAATTTTCCAGAACAAACTCCCTCCTTCTATCATTGTTTTATTATTGGAATCTCCCCTGTTTTATATTCAAGGCTGCACCCGTCCCACCAATCAACATTCTCCACCTATAAACTATGTTCTTATGTCATCAATTCAATTATTAAACCAAACACTCCATAAAGCTGTTGCAAAAACGATGATGATTTTGTTTGATCTTGAAATTTTGTTGAAAAGGTTAAATGAGGCAATAGAAGGGGAAATCAGTTATATTGGGAAGAGAGGAGGGTGAAAAAACACAAAGCAACTTGTGATAAGCCTCTGCGTTGAGAGGTAAGAGGCATATATCCACTTGACACCCATGCCCCTGCAAATCAACGCCTAATACCCCGCCCCATATCAAACACATAATTCGCTACCATTCATTTTATTTGAGGTGCACAATAAGAATTATACATCTAATTAGACCCTTGGATTACGACGTTCCATTCGGTTTGATTCCTCAAAACGTTGGTACCACGCCGTATTGGAACTCTGTCAGGAACTCAGACGAAGCGGCCGACCCATACATTTCATCCACCTCTGATAACGCATCACTTCGTTTTGCGAACCGGCCTTTGATTCTGGGACGGGTTTCTGCATAAGCTTTTCTTGATGCGTACCGGATTGTCTTCTCGAACTTCCGGTTCTTCCTTTTCTCTCTGTACCTCAACACTCTCGCCTCCCGATCGATTCCACATAATTGAGTCGCTTGGTTCCCGGGTATCGACATCGGTAAACCCGAATCCGTGCCCTTACTTGGTGTTTGACCCAATGGGTATGATATGTCGGACATCGAGTTCCCTTCTGGAACAACTCCAACTTCGAGGGAAGAAGAGGAAACCTGAGGAATTAGAAGAAACCAAAAGTCAATTAGTTTAATTCACGAGGAAATTTTGGGGTGGTTAAATCAGGGATTTTTTAAATTGGGGTTGGGTTAATTACACTCTGGCTGAGAGATTGAGGTTGATAGCCGAATGAATTGAGCTTGGATCTGCAGAAATCGATGTCGTAGCAATTTTCAGGGGAGTGGGTATGGTTGATCACCGGCGTTGAGAGTGGCTTTGTCTGAACGGGGACGACGCTGTCGTTAATTGCGCTGACTGGATTTGGGTAATCAAAATCAATAAAAGAATCCATTTCAGTGAAGAACGTATGATCGGCAGAAGGCTTGATTTCAGGGCCGTCAACGTGCTTAGAGTTGAAAGGCGGGTTGGACATAAGCCAAGAGGCAACCTCCACCTCCTCATGGTGGTGGGCGCCGTCGCAGCCACTAACGTTGGATTCAGTGGGCATGAGAAAATTGAAAACGGAAGAGGGTTTGACTAATGACTCGGCCGAATCAAAAAAAGGCTCGACCGGGACACGCTCATGGCGACGGGCAAGTGGGTTAGCGGAGTGAATATCGGCATCGCACGTGACACAGAGCGCAGCAGCATCAGCCTTACACACGACCGCAGCGGGAGCTTGTTCACAAACCTCGCACATCCAGACGCGGTCGTGGCGAGAAGCGAGCTTATTAGCGCCGTGAATTTTGGTGTCGCAATTGAGGCAGAGAAAAGCAGAGTCGGGTCGACAGTAGACTGCCGCAGCGGCAGTCTTGCAAGAGTCGCATGGTTTAGAGACAACGCCCCATCCGCCACGGAAACCCTTTACAACACTCGCACCCTCAATTCCCATTAGTAGGCTAGGCGTTGTCAATTGAGAAGGCTCCCCAGTGTCCCGCAGAGAAAAAAAGAACAGGGGAGCGGGTGTGCGTGGCAGCGGCAGCAGAACGAGCTAGAATTGGAGAGAGTTGGATATGATTTGGCAATGGGGGCTGTGTTTTTCTGCAATCTTTATCTATCATCTGTGCGAGTAGTTGGGGGAAGGAAATCTGGGTAAACACGAGTAGTACGGCGCCACGTGGATGACTCTGTGCCACAATAAAAAAAAAAAAAAAAGATGAGACGGGAGGGATTGATAGTTGTAGCTGCCGACGTAGGGCCCACATAGAAAAGTGGGACAGAGTAATGCGTTGTCATTATTGAAGGGGGGCGAGCGACACGGAGGACGGAGGAGCTGTGGTTGGATTCGATTAAGAATAAGTAAGTAGATAGATTTAAATGAATCTCTCTCTCTAATCATATACTAATTTACATTCACATTATTATTATTATATTCAAGAACCCAAAACTATTTCCTTCCCAGTATTTAATTATTTTATACCAAACATAAGTCTTACACAAAAATATTATCACTTCAGTAAGGATACTTTTAATCTTTAAAATTTAAATTTTATTTTTAACGAGTCTCCAAAATTTGGCTTTAAAAGAATAATTCTAATGAGACCGTTTCAAACTTTAAGATTTATTTTGTTTTTTATTTTCAATTTTCAAACTTTGTCACAATTTCGTTAAAGTCATTTTCATTTTATATCAAAGAAATATTAATCGTGAATCAAAATAGAAGATTATTCAAATAGTTCACACAAGATTTGATGTAATGCGTTTTGAAAAGGGTCCGAGAGATATTACATTTAAAAAGAAAAGGGGAAAAAAATGAAAGTATTGAATTAGAAAGATTTAATTAATGATGGGATGGAAGGTTAAATTGGATCCAAACAAAATGTTGGAGGTTTGGTTTGATTTTAATTATAATTAAAAGAAGGAAGGTAGGCAGAAATAATAACTAGGGCGGAATTGGAAAGAGAGAAATATTGGAGAGGAAGTGGAGGAGGAGGAGGTGGGTCCCGCCACCAAACAACATTTTTGGCTCTTGGGAATATGGAAAAGTCAAAATATGTTTGTATGTATAAGCACCCAGCCCCCCCCCCGTCCGCTCTCCCTCTCCCCATACTTTCATAGCCGTGTAGAAGCAGCAGTCTCTAGTAATGTATTATTATTCTCTAGTAATATATGTCACCGTTCGTATTATTATCAAGTTCCTACCTTGTGAATTCTCCTCTGAATACTTTTGATACTATATTTCCACTTTCATTCCTGAATGTATGATAATTAGTATTTTATGTTCACGTATGTGAAGGCAATAGATCTTGTTTCCAGTTCTATTACACCTTAAAATAGCCTCAAACAATATAGAGAAGAAAATAGTAAACCAATGAGAATCAACTTCACTTTCCACCCATTGTTACCGGGAGAATCCAAACTATAAACACTTCCATCATTTTCTTAATTTAAACGCTTTTTATTCTTTTTCTTTGTTTAATATTTATTTAATTATTCACATATAAAAGGAAAATGAAGTAAATATATCACGAAATACAAGTATAGTACTGCAAAGATAAAGAAAATCGAACCCATTAAAGTATATGGTCAAGTTTTGATGTTGAATCAATAAAATCAATATGCCACTTTAGATAAATTATTAAATTAAATTAAATTAAATACAATATTAGAACAATTAAACAAGTTGAAAACTGAATCAAATGTTAATTACATTAAAGGATATCATAAATTTCAATAAAATCAATTTTTTTACATCTACGAGTCGTAATCAATCACTATAACAAAGTATTTACAAGTATATCGAATAATTCTCCAGTTTAGTTGGGGTTAAAGCCAACGCCAATGTGGACCCTGACAAGTAACCATGGATCAAGCCAAGTGAGGTCATCCAGTGCGTGTAAATTTACTTAGGACGAGATTACCCTTGAGCCATGGCCAAGGGAGTTTGTGGCCACAAATTACAGTAGAGTCTCTGTCAGCGTGCAAGGTGTGGCAGACCAACAAGGTCAGCAAACCCCGTCGTGTTTATTGATATGCATCATTTCATATTTCCCTTGAACTTACTCTCCGGGGCACTTCCGTCATTTCTCTTTCACCCCTCTATCTTTCTCTATCGCTCTCACCCTCACGCACCATCTATCAACCTCTTAATTGCCTCTTTACCTTCGATTACCCTTCTCATCATTTCTATCCTTTATCTTATCCGCTTGTTCATTATAATTGTGAGCCTACCAATACCTTGTTTTTTTAGACGTAATCCATAAACATCTGTGTATTAATGTTAACAAAGATTCTTCCTAGGTGCTTGTAAATACAATCTTTGGGTTGGATAAAAAAACGTATATACATTCAAATAAAGTAAAGAATTCTCAGCCCGTTACGTACCATCGTTGAGAGGTTTACACACATCTCACAGTCCACCATTTTAGGGAGAAATTTCACACTCTTGTAAAAAAATGTTTCGTTCCTTATCCAATAGATGTGAGTTCTCATATCTAAGATGAATTTTATTTCGAGTCATCCTCAATTTGAGTTAGAGGAATATGATGATAAAAATTCAACCCACCGGCACACAAGAAGTACATAACATAACTTTCTTTATATGCCTCAAAAGTACTTATTTTTAATTGCTTATCATTTCTTTTTTATTTAATTTTAAATAAGTCCTCCACCATTGTCAAACGAATAGTTCATTTCCATCACAAACACCTTTATCAATTTTAATTTATTGATATGGTAAATGAATGGTTGAGTGTAAACTTGATTTGTGAATAATAGATGTTTAGCATTGACAATTTGGTAAATGTAAATCAATGCAAATTTAATCCATCATGTGTAGTAATCATATTTGAAGGTAAAAAATAAATGATTTTGAAATGTGTAAATAGAGCTGCAATTTATTTGTAAAACATGAGTACTATATTAGCTGATTAAATGAAAGTTCACAATACTATTTTCATTTAGTAATAGACGTTTTTGAAAAATAAAAAATAAAACTACGAGAACTTATGTTCGATAATATCATATCACAGTAGAACTCTCAAGTTTTGGAGAAGAAAGCAAACATAGGTGGGTGATTTGGTAACGCCATTGCTATATATATATATATATATATATATATATCTCTGTGTAGCAAAGGGATGGCCGAAGGAATGACTATATAACTATATATATACACTAAGTAACTACAAATACAAGCAATCGAGATGAACCAGGCGCTACTTAATCATGATTATTATTATTCTTCAACAATATTGTCTATAAGTTTACGAGTTGAAAGCTGTCTTTGCCTTTCCCTATGAGTGATAAAACAGTGGCCGCTATGTCCTTCGAACTCAGCCCTGCTTCTTGGGTTTGGTCCATCTGTGATCCATGGTCGATGTATCTATCAGGAAGCATCACTGCCCTCCACTGCACAACCAAACGCAACATGTTTATTTCATGGTGTAAAATTAAACATCCTTTAGTTTTGTGTTTCTTTGTTGCATGCATACCTTCAGATTTCCATCAAGCAATCCATTTAATCCCAGAAAATGGGAAACGTGAGAGCTAAACCCTCCAATGGATCCTTCTTCAACCGTGAGGAGTATCTCGTGATGTCTTGCCAATTGCTTCACCAATTCTCCATCTAAAGGTTTGCAAAATCGGGCATCCGCCACTGTTATTTCAATGCCGTATTGTTGAAGCACCTCCGCCGCCGCCATGCATCTTTGTACTATACTTCCATATCCCAAAATGGCCACTCTGTTTCCTTCTCTTAAAATCCTTCCCTTCCCCACCTGTATGTAATTTGGGGGCTTTCAGTTTCCATGCCACGTTGATGAGACTTATTCAAAGAAGCATACAAGTTGGGTTTGATGGAAGTGTGTGTATACCTCCAATGGAGTGCCTTTGTTGTGCAGGGGAAGAACAGAGCCAACCCCATTTCCTCTTGGGTACCTGAAGCAGCTGGGTCTATCGTCGATGGCGGCAGCCGTGGCCACCATGTTCATTAGCTCCGTCTCGTTTGAAGGAGCCATGACCACCATATTTGGTAAACATGCCATGAACGTTGTGTCAAATGCTCCGCAATGGGTCGGCCCATCCGCACCCACTAACCCTGCTCTGTCTATTGCAAACCTCACAGGCAGCTTTTGTAGATCTACATCATGAGCCACCTGCACAACATTTCCCCAAACACTTACAAATGCCCAAATTAATCTTATATGCACTTCCTTTGAGATTGAGCGTGGGGTGTCAGCTTTATTACCTGATCATAGCCTCTTTGAAGAAAAGAGGAGTAAATGGCGCAAAAAGGCTTGAGGCCTTCGGCGGCGAGGCCAGCAGCAAAGGTAACGGCATGTTGCTCGGCGATTCCAACGTCGAAGCAACGATCGGGAAATCGTTTCTGGAAATAGTTGAGACCAGTGCCACCTCCCATGGCAGCATGAATGGCTATGATTTTGTCGTCTCTCTCAGCTTCTGCTATCAATGAATCTGCGAAGTATTGCGTGTAGGAAAGAGTTTCCGTCTTCTTCTTTATCTGTTTCCCTGTTCTTGGATCAAATTCCACTACTCCTGTAGCCAAACAAAAAATTTAGCACTTACTTTCATTTGCCTGCATTGTTCAATGCTTACGACTTGTATTTACCGTGCATTTTGTCGGCTGCAATCTCCGCAGGTGGATAGCCTTTGCCCTTTTCTGTGACGACATGAATAAGAACAGGCCCAGGCGCAGGCATAGACTTCACTTGCTTCAATACATACACAAGATCTTCCACATCATGCCCATCCACTGGACCTATATAATATATTCCAAGCTCTTCGAATAACGACGCCCCCGATCCTCCCACAATTCCTTTCATGCAGTGGTCTAATTTCGCTGCAATTTCATGCGCCTGTCCCCCCATCTGCTTCGTCAACCCCTGCACCACTCCCACATTTTAGATTTCAAAATTACAAAACTAAAGAAGTTGGGGTTGCAAAATCTTTGGTTAGTATGTACGTACCTTCGCTGCTTCACGCAGTTGTCGAAACTTTTTACTGGCTTGGAGCCTAGTGAGTGCATTGCTTAGAGCGCCGACAGCAGGAGCGGGACCATCGATGGTGGCAGTGGGCAAAGAAACTTGTCTGTTGTCGTTCAAGATGATGATGAGATTTGAGTCTAGGAAACCGGCGTTGTTCAGTGCCTCGTATGCCATTCCCCCAGTCATGGCTCCATCGCCTATAACTGACACTACGTGGTTGTTTTTTCCTAGTATGTCTCTAGCTACGGCCATTCCTGCAGGACGAACAACAATGAAGTTGTTGGCCTTGAAATAGTATTGTTGGTTAGGTGGGAAGGAGTACCTAATCCAGCAGAAATGCTGGTAGAACTATGGCCAGCTCCGAAGGCATCAAAAGCACTTTCCTCCCTCTTCGGAAACCCAGCCAAGCCAAATGTTTTACGGATTGTGTGCATTCTGGACCTTCTACCCGTCAACATCTTATGAGCATACGCCTGCAATTTTCAATTTCCCCCAACATATGTCAATACTTGTTCACCCCAATGCTTCAAACTACAATTAAAAAAAAACCCCCTCATTTACGCACACACCTGATGACCCACATCCCAAATTATCTTGTCCTCTGGCGCACTGAATACATGGTGAAGTGCCACCGTCAGCTCTGCCACGCCCAGACTCGAACTCAGGTGCCCCCCTGTTTTCGATACTGTGTATACTATTTCTTCTCGAACCTCATCCGACAATTCTTGAAGCTCCTGTAAGAAAAGACCGCTGGGGTTTAAAAATGAATGTTATTGGTCGGAAAAATGGTTGTTATTCGATTGTACCTGGATGGAGAGATTTTTCATGTGATTGGGATAGTTGATGGTGTCGAGAATGGGAGTGGTTGGCTTGTCTCCCGTGAAGTTGAGAGCCCTCTCCAGTTTATTCACTCCTCTTTCCCCTTCTCTGTTTCTTACGTCCACTGATTGCCTCTCGTCAAATGTGGCATCATCGCTACAACAAACCACTCCGTTCCACTGTCAAATCAAATTAAACACAAAATCATGTCACTAACACTGACATAGTCCGTCGAAAAAGAGCTGAACAGAGAGATAGATAGACCTTATTAGATGCAGAATTGGGTTGTTTGAAGTTGAGACGCGGATTGTGAGAGGATCGGAGCAGAGGAAGGAAAGCATTGGTGAGAAGGGAAGACATTTGAATCAGTATTTACAGACCGACACAGGAAATTATGCATGCATGCTTAGATTAGATGCAGCAGTTCGTGTGATGATTTTATAATGGGGAAGAGACATTTGAATCACCTCACCTCTCCTCCCCTGTCTATCCCAATTGCTTTGTAGTCAAATCCCGGAGCCACACGAGGATCACATGTCTCATAAATTACAATTTAATAACACAATTATAAATCATTAGACTTAACAACGTGTAAAACACTGCCCCTTCCCCTCCGCCTGTTCATTTATTAAGCACAACACAAACATAATCCCTGTGCCTCACGTCTACTCCTTGCGTATCTGCTTTTGCTTATGCATCTTACAAAGATATATACATGCCTGATATCCAACAACAGTCCAAAAGCTCATGTTTTATTTGAAAACAAATAATCACTAAATATCAGTTTTATGTCTTATATCATATCCAAATACAATGAATCATATGACACTAGCATTCTACTAGTTCACCTAAATTCAACTTAGGTGTTAATTATTCATTATCACGTCATCTACCTCTATCATCAACCTTTTTTTGTACTACTAAAGATTATTGACTCTATTGTATATATCAGTGTGGACCCTTATCTTTACTCAAACAAATTCACGACTAAGGGACATTTGGAGACCCTACTGACCGTTCTCACACCCAATAGTATAATTATATTATCTTGTCGCATATCAACAACTGTGGATCATTATTTGCATAACTAATTTATCTATCATGTTCATATATCACTTAATTTCATACGGTATTTAGTAGATCATCGTAGTTGGGCACACATGCCTACCTAAATCGTGTATCATGCTTTTAAGGCTCCATCACTATCAATTTAATTCAATTTATTCTCAAAATTCAATGCTAGCCCATATCCAAATCAATCATATAATAGCACTTGAAGAAAATTTGAATAGCTATGTTCCAAATTTTGAAGAGGAAAATGACTCAAACTATAAGCCTATAAACCAAACTACTCAAGGGTTTAATAACCGTTTACTTCATTTTCCTTCCTCAAATATGTTCCAAATTTTTTATTTCTTTCAATTTTAGTGAGCAATTTGGTTTAAATTAGTTATTGATTCATTCATCAAAATTATAGATCTCATTACCACGATTCCAACGATTCCAACGAGAATCATTCAAAACCATGACGAAAATTTAAAGCCTTAAAACTCACCCAATTTCTTACCAAAATTCTTTTTTCCAATCAATCCATGATTATTCTTGATTGATTGGGAAGATCGTTGGAGTTCCAAATTAAAAAACTTTTAAACGGATGATGATGATGATTGAAATGTGAGTAGCCAAATGTATGGGTTTGGATAAGAGAAGAAGATAAGAAATTGTGTAGCATTCCATAGCATATCCATTGGATTAGCATGATGAGTAGTGGAGAACTAATCATGATTTTTTTACCATTGGTCAAATATTTAGCAATATAATCTGTTTTTTAAAGCACAATATGACCAATTGGTCATGCTATTAATGAGTTGATTCAATTAATTATACATTTGTGTGGAGTATACAAATTTTAAATCTTAAAGGTAAAAGATTTTGTATTAAAGCCATATCTAAGGGTCACATCAATCTTTATTACATTATATGTTCAATCAATTAGATGGTGATGATGTTTGTAAAAAGAAGACAAGTGAGTGAAATAGAGAGAAGAAAAACGTGAATCATGTTCTTTTTTGTGCATAACTACCACAATTTTTTCCAACTTGGCACAACTACAACATTGAAAATGCTGGTTCATACAAAAAAAAGGAAGCCACACAATTTTAGAATAGAAAAAATCAAGTCTTGGTGGATTTATTCAAATTCTGAAGAGTCGAGAAAAAATTTAGGTAAAAGTTTTACGTTCTTATGCTTATTTTTTCTTTAAATCTACGAGTTTTGCTTACATTTAAGTTTTGTATTTTTAGTACGTTTATGAATTTCATAGTAATCGAAATACACAAGTAAGTGATTGAGTGAATGAGCTTTCCCTGATTCTCATCCAGCTCTATTTATCGGTCTGAATAAGATACGACTGATTTTCTTTTCTTTCCATTAATTGAATGTTCAAAAGAGGGAGGATTCTTTCTGTCTGTCTAAAAGCTAAATCCTGACATAGATAGGTGTGATTGAAGCGATTGGACTGCTTTCAAAGGCCTTAAATAGCTCACAATTCTGAAGGACAGACAGTCCATCATAATAGAAAGTTCTTGGAGGAGTTTCACATCAGATTCACGAAGGAAATCATAGTTAATTTGGATCGGAAGACGGTGATTCGGTGATTGTCAAGAAACTATAAGTTTCTAAGTTTTGGTGTTTTTGACCATCTTTAGACGTATTTATTTCCTTCTATAGTTGTCCTAAAATTACGAGAAAAACACCTTAATAAAAATGAGTTAAAACTATACGATGGTATTTTAGAAACTAAGTTGATTCAAGTTAGGAAGACAAAATTATGAAATCTAAATAAAACAGAAAAGAATCATAAACGGAAAGAAAATCTGGAAATTTACGATGAACTCGGTTGTGCAGGTGACACTCAATAGGTGAGGCGGAGCAAATGGGCAGGCTTTGGCTGGGATACATGTCACGCAGTTATTCGTCCACGCGTCTCGTTGACAAGGTGAGGACTCGTGGTTCGCTAGCTCCAACCTGACCTGCTAGCAAAAAATTGTGCCTGATCTACTCGTTCCTTGTTCTGAACCATCCAACTCGTATTTCTGACCTGATCTGATCTATGGCGCGTCAATGAAAATGTGCCACGTGTTGCATGCGGAGCGTGCGTCTTATTCCAATTGCATGTCTGTAGTTGCGCGCGTTGGACTCTTCAGCGACACATGAGTATCTCTTTTCTTGCCTAATTAACCTCTACTTGTCAATATTTTTGCCTCGATTTCGGTACTAACCCTATTTTGACTTGAGTTAGAACCTATAAAAAAAATTAAAATTTTTTGGAGTTTCCAATACGCAAAAAAGCTAGTTAGAAGACGTAGCGTTATCCAAGTAAGTAACCGCATGAACTTTAGGCAAGTAATGCTCGTAGGAATCACAAGAACGAGTTAGTATGTAAGCATCACCTTAAGAGGTGTGCATGTTTAGGATCTCTAAAAGGCATTTTTGGATCTGCACGCAAATATATTATAGAAAATTATTGAAATGCCTCTACAGTGAACGTAGGAAGGGTTTATGCATGATAGGACTCAAGTAGGGCATTATGGTCAAGTAAATTATGCATGTTTAGATAATTACCCAAATACCCCTGGCTCAAAAATTCTTGAGACCTAGGTTATTCTAGGCAAGTTTTTAATCTTATTAAAAATTAAATTAGTTTATGAAAAGTCTTTAATTTCTAAAATTAAAATATAAACCAAAATAAGATATAAATGAACACTTAATCCCTCTAAAAAAACTATGATTTTGGGATCAATAATATGAACAAGGTGATTGTGCGCACATCTTGTAACGTTGCTGTGGTGCCAGCAATTTTTGACTCCTTTCTTGCATTTTGTCCCAACCCAATTATCAACCATCATTTTTAATTACTTGTTTGATATTGCTACCAACTCATCAAACGTTTCGTATGAATACTCCCTAACATATGGTTTTGTTGAAAAGAAACATGCACATAATATTGTTAGGCTAATTTGGTGTGACATGACAATGAGAAATTTTAATCAATATTACTTGCTTCATATTTTACACGATGAGTATCATTTTATTGCCAACACGCGAGCTCCATATATCTCTCCAGCATGGATGTCGAATCCCACGAGGGCGGCTGAGAGAGGCCTCGGACATCGTTTTACTCATACCACATTGAAATTCAATTCGTTTATAACCATGGAGTAACCCAAGTCTTCATCGCTATTAAATGTTGAGGGCCCCTTTTGTAGCTGAAACAGAGTGCTGTTGAAAGATCACTTCGCCGGCTCCACACCATAGTTTTGTTAATTTTATTTCGTTTACATGTTCCGTCTCGTCTTCAAACTGGGAAGAAGCCATGTGCAGTGGTAAACTAAACATTCTTTATAAAAGTGTAGAAACTTCTCATTAGTAGACGCCTTTTAAAATTGTAAGGTTGACGGCAATACGTAATAGACTAAAACGGACAATATTTACTAGTAGTGAGGGCTATTACAGAAGCGGTTTCGATTTTGGTCGACTGAACCAGCCATTTCTAACTACTAGTTTGGGGGCATTAATCAAACTGGGTGTACTTTGACCATTCAATTCTTTACTGTACATCTGCCCTTCGCTCTGAAAGAGACCGATGGTGAAAAACTGAGCTTGAGAGAATTAATGAGTGGCCAAGAACAAGTAGAAGAATTTATCAACTATTCTCAAACTTGGATTGGCCACATGAACTTCAACCTACTTTTCCAATTCACATTCTAAGTTCTGCATTTTTTTTTTTAGTGAATTGGACTTGTAATGAATTAGCCTATCACGAGTAGCCTCGTCGCTTGATTAGTGGGGAAAAGGGTCAAACGTGGTTGCTAGCATTGAATAGAGCTGTCATAGACAAGAACCTCAAGCCTATACCACTATGTCCACCCGACGTTTAAACGCACGTAATGCTGAGCTAAACAACAAAAGTTCAAAGACAATGTACAAAGTCAATCACCAATAACATACAAAATACAGGAAATTTACTGTTATTGTACACAACTCAGTACTGACATTAACTTTACATCTATGAAGGGTGGAGTATTGTTGAGAGGGAGTCCCGCATTTGCTAATTTCGGAGATGATCATAAGTTTATGAAATACATCTTCATTGGTACGAGACTTTTTGGGGAAGCCTAAACCAAAGCCATGAAAGCTTATGCTCAAAGTTGAAAATATCATACCATCGTGAAGAGTTGTAATTCCTAACACAGAGTCGGTAGAGTCGGTAAAGGAGGTTTTTGCAACTTCTCTTCGGCAAGGAAACCTTCAGGAGCACCCCAGAATTCCAACCTAGCTAAAACCTGCCTTAGACGTTGTTTGAAGTGAGATACTCAAAAGCTTCAGAACTTTGAATAATCCTATCAATTTTCGAGAGAGGATCCAATTCTCTATGGGGCTGCTGCTAGTGTTGAAGTTTATGAAGCCCAAACGAACATTCAGCTCAAATATTTGGATCCGACCCAAAAGTTATGAACGCAAAAGGATAGCATCTTGAGTTACAGACATTCAAAAGATAAAAAAGATTTCACAATCTTTATAAGCTACATGTTTTACTTGAAATATATCTCAGATCTTTTGTACCATGTAACCAGTTAAGCAAAGTTTAACCACAATATTTCTGCCACGTGCTATGTTCTAGAATGCACTGTGATGGCATCTTGTCCTCGTGAAAAAACAAGAGAGTATCACGGGAACCACTTAGCTAATTCACGAGACGCCATAAAACTTGATAGCCATGTATATTCTATACATGTGTCTACCTGTGAGACTGTGATCACCATGCAAGAACCAAAACCCAACCACAGAAGTTCAACACATAGACCACATATTTTATGATTCTATGGCCCAGTGACTCCTCCATTTCCACAACTAAGCGCCCCCTTCGTCCCCACTAAATCCAGCCCATTACGCATATCTCCTTACAACACTCGTATATAGGCAGAAGCAAGCAACAATAATCACCAGCCATCCCCTGCCAGCAACAGCAAAAATCACAATGAAAATGCAGCTGCTAGCTCTGTTTCTCTTACTGGCCTTCCTTCCGCCCCAAGTTCTCTCTCACAACTTTTCTCAAACACCTGGTGTGCAAGTGCAAACAAACAAGCAAAAGCAGCTGGACAACGAAACCATCTACAGGGTGTCGAAGCAACTTTGCTGGGGTTGCGTTAGCGAGTCTCTAGAGTTTCTATTTGCGCACAATCTGATTCGAGCGGCAAAATTCGAGTTGCCACTGGCATGGAACTTCCAGCTCGAGAAGTACGCCAGGTGGTGGGCAGGACAGAGAAAGGGGGATTGTAAACTGCAACACTCTTTCCCTGAAGACGATTTTAAGCTGGGGGAGAACATTTACTGGGGGAGTGGATCAGCGTGGAGGCCACTGGATGCAGTGACAGCGTGGGCTAGCGAAGTCAAGTACTACAAATACGCCACCAACAGCTGCGAGGCTGACCAAATGTGCGGCCATTACACGCAGATCGTTTGGAGAAACACTCAAAGGCTCGGCTGCGCTCGTGTCATTTGCGACGATGGGGATGTCTTCATGACTTGTAACTACGATCCCCCTGGCAACTACATAGGCGAGCGGCCCTACTAAAGAAAAGTATAATAAAAAGCCTTTTGGATGTGCTGTGCTGTTGTTTCGTACATATTGAATATCAGCAATTAATATAATTGAAGCAGTCTGTGTGTAATATAATAATGCATACTCACATGGGTTACCTTTATCATATAGTTTAATTAAATCTCATATTATTGAATATTATCAAATCCAAGAACATAAATACAAAATAACACAGTTGGATTCTGCAATATTCTTATAAAACTTTCGGCTTTAAAACAAAATTCTAATTACCTAACTCTATTATTAACAGGGGCCTCGATAGGCGTGTGTGTTGGGCCCAATCAGAGCCCGTCTGAAAGAAAATACAGAGGCTTATGGAGCCCACAGTTGAGCGCATAGGCCCACAAATGCATGTCCAGAATAATTCCATTATTCTAACTTTATCAGATTCCACATTTGATTTTTTGCGATCAATGTATAACAATGCTTAAGATCCAAATCAATAATTGTTTCAATACTCATGTGATCTTCTACAATTAATAGAATATCTATAGCTACATTATTTCAACTCTGTTCTTCGTTTTTCATATTTAAATCTGTTGAATCTAAGAATAATAATTGTTTTATAAATTAATTTCTGATAAGTGAAGATGGCTATCTTTATTTAATGTTGCCGCTACAAGTTGTAGGAAATAAATTTGGAGTAAATATTTAATGTAAGCTTTATTTGGAGGGGGTATGAAAAAATATATATATATATATTATAGGGATACAGGTATTGGGTACAGCACATAAAATCAATCAATTACATGTGAATTTCAGAGACACAGAACCACATAAACTTTTACAAACAAATTTTGATTTAAATATACACTCTCCAAACTCCGATGACAACAAAATGGGGAGGTGAGGTAAATTTTAATAAGGTCTCTCCCCAATGTAATTACCAGGAGGATCATAGTTGCAAGTGATGAAGACGCCTTTACCCTGCTTGCAAGTGACTCTAGCGCACCCAATCCGCCGAGTGGACCGCCACACTATTTGCGTATAATGGCCGCACAGTTCACCTTCCACGCAAGAATTTGACCAATAGCTGTACCATTTCCGCTCCGACACCCAATCAGCCACGGCCTGTGCCGGAGACCACGCATTGCCACTCCCCCAGAAAATGTTTTCACCGTACGGCCCGTTGGAGTGTCGGAGAGCGCAATCCCCCCGCCGCTTGTTGGCGTATGACTGTGCGTAGCGAGCCAATTTGGTGTCCCAAACTAATGGAGCCAACCGGAGGGCGTATCTAGCCGCATTGTGAGGGCCGAGGAATTGCTTCTGCAGGGCTTTGTCGGACTTCACCAGAGCTGCAGTGGCGTGGCCGGTTGAGCTCAGGAGGATGAAAATGGCGATGGGTATGAGAAGATATGCTTGCATTTTTTCAATGGAGCTTGATTTTGTATTGGGCAGCCTTTAATTTTGGAGGGTATTCCTTGGTCTGAAGAAAGTGATGATATTTATAAAGGAATGGCTACGAAATCGAGTGGTTGGATAAAGAAGACTTATGGGGTGGCACCCATGTTCGATAATGATTACCACTTTCTTTTTTGCTATTACACATAAATTATTATTCATATAAAGAATATCGTTCAACTCCAAATTATTGGCCCTCTTAAAAATTGAAGCTAAAGATCATTTCGTTTCATTACATCAAAACTTTAAAAATTTGTAACCTTTTTTCTTTTTGTGATGCATCCTCTGGACGAACATAAAGAAAGAAAGTAACTAAAGGGTGTATGATTGAATGAACATAAAGAAAGAACATGATAGTGTGTAAAAGGCAAGGGAGGGAGGGCATCAAAACAGGATTATTGAAACAAAACTGTGTGTTCTTTTTCAATCATTTGAGCATTAATATTAAAATCAGAGGCCGCATCTACCCCGAAAGTCTTCCAATAAATTTTCCGGTTTTAAAATTAGTAAGCTCCATCTCATACGTCATTGTTCACAAACTTATGCCCCTCTCTGCCAACTCACAAACATTTATTTGGGCCTCATAAATACTATTTATTATATCATTTCTTTAAAAAAAAAATACTGAATGTGTGATAGGTCAAATATACAGCCATGTTATTGTGCATATGATTGGTTTAAAGTTTAAGCCAAATAAGGGCTAAATACACTTTTTTAAATACAATGGAAGGTTAATAAATTTTTGCATGATATTCCCTCAGTTTTTAGAATTGATTATCTAATAGCTAAATGTGTCACGATCTTAAAGTTTAAAGAACAAGCAACAATAGAGTATAAATTATGTGAATACAACGATTTTAGTTGAAGTTTTCAGTCACTTTAATCCTATCAATCATTGTCCGTAAACTAACAATTTGAAGTATAATGTAACAATCTTAGCCCATTCAAACAATATATATGTATCAATACAAATTGGGCCCAGGCTTATACCTCCTGCAAAATGAGTTACGTTTCTTGTGCTTCCATGCATTTAATGCCCATTTACTCTAAATTGTAAAGATCGCGAAGGTTCCAAATTTCACATGGAGGTTCATTGCATTGATTGGGAAAGGAGATGAATAGCCAACATACTAACCATTTCTTAAAAATTTATTTAACTGCTTAATAACTGTTTGCTTAATAACTGCTGCCCATTATCCTAAAATTGCTCCAACTATATCAAATTTATTCAAAGCCTTGACACCGTTTCTAGGGAGATCAAAGGTTTCCCCTTCTTTACCCATATAAATCCCACCAAACCCATCTCTATTCTTCTCTCATCATCATCATTGTTGTTTCAGCTATGGGAGGAAAACGAGCGGTTCATTACTATGAGATGACGGAACTGGAAGTTCCTTTGAGTTGCAACAAACCCAAGTTGGGCAAGCCCGGCGCCAAAAGAGCCTCCACCAATCGACATGGGGCGGAGAAAACTACAACCACGGTCTACAAAAATGAACTTCCTGGTGGTTTAACTGTACAGGTCTCCAAGAGGCATAAGGTCAAGGAATTTGTGGACAACAACACCGGACGTTTGAGTTCCAAAGAAGAGGTTACTTATAAGTCTAGTTTCAAAGTGGATAATGCAGTTCAAGGAATTTTCAATGAGGTTCAAACTCAAGTGAAGTTTAACAAGGCTCCAAGTTCTAGCAACAATTCCACCAAACCCACTAATAAGCATATCATGTTTGACTTCTAGGCCTATCTTTTGGATCTCCATGTCTTTCCTGTCTTCTTTAATTTCCATGTTTTACTCTTTCAAACACATAGTGTTAATTTGATTCTCAATTCTCCTAATTTGTTGCTTCATTTGTTTATAATGGTTTTTAATTCATCTAATGTGTTCTCTTTTTCTCTCCTTTTGAATTTAAAAAGTTATCCCTACTGTGTTGTTACTCTGTCTCTTTCAAAAATCTCTTTTTGCCCTCGTTTTCTAAAATCTTTTTTTTTTAAATCGAGGCAGAGCTTCGAGCATACGTCGTTTGGCCGTAGGCGATACAAGAACGAATTGGCTTAGTTCACTTGTCGTTAGAAAGTGAGTGCCGCAGTTCGCTGCTATCTAGAGTGCGATCGTGACAAGTGCTCAACTTTATGGTACTAACAAGTGTTTGATACGTGTTCAAAACGGAGTGACACAATAAGAAATACAGAAAGAAAGACAGATATACGAGAATTGAACTAAAGATTTTGATCCAGCAATATCCAAGGTGAAAATGTGGATTAAACGTCATTATTCACACTAATATACAAAGCTTGACGACATAGATTCTTAGTATGGCACATGCAAGCAAATCCATCTTATAATCATGACAAATTGAACAGCTTCCTTGTCTCTCTCCCAAACCCTACGCATAAAAATTGTCCCCTAAAGATTGTACCCTAACTCAAAATCTTGAAACATCAATTCCGATTGAAGAACAGAAGAAGAATCCCAGGAATTAGAGGAGGATGCGGATCTCATATCATGATGATCATTCTGAGCAGCCCACCACATGAAGCCATCCTTAGAAGAACCACCCACTTCTTTAAAGCAATCAAATTCAGGCACTTGTTCAGGTTGTGACATGAAACCCTCCGCCTTGTCATTAAGAAACTCATCCACTCCCACAAAGTTTGAAACTTGATGAACCCCAGATGCTAATTCATCTGAACTTGGGATCTCATAAGGAAGAGACACAGAATTGGTGTGAAAGAAATCAGCTTCCTTGGGTGGTTGAGTGGGTTGAAGATGATTAGGGTTTTGATTGTTCAGAGGCAGGAGGGATTGAAACTTCTTTTCCTGCATGGGGTGGAGCTTGGGCCATAGCTGAGGGTGTGTGTAGAAAGAGAGTGGATTGTGAAGGCCTTGAAGTTGCATATGGAGTTGAATCCTTTCCAAGGCTGAGTTACTCAAACCCTCTTTGGGGTCTTCATTGGTAGTTGATGAAGGTGAAATCCCATTATTGGTATTGGTATTGGTATTGGTATTGGATTGTTTGGGTTTTCCAAGTAGTTTCTTTTTCAGCTTTGTGTTCCAGTAGTTTTTTATATCATTATCAGTTCTTCCAGGCAGCTGGGCAGCAATTACAGACCACCTAAAAAGACACAACCATACAATTCCAAGACAATCAGCCTCTGACAAAGGGAAAAAACCAAGACAGAATCAAGGACAAGGAAGAAAGACAAGTACACCAATTCAGATCTAGTAACATGGCTCAAGATGAACACTAATTTTGAAAGTTTTGGTTGGAATTTGGGCTCAAACCTGCTGCCAATGCTTATATACAGGTTGCAAATGATGGTGTCCTCTTCCTCCGAGAATCCTCCATGTTTGATATTAGGTCTCAAATAATTCAACCATCTCAATCTGCAACTCTTTCCACATCTCTTCAGCCCTTCAATTTTTAATCCAAAAACAGAACATGAAGTTGAGACAAAAAAAAAAAAAAAAAAGAGTTTGTTATCTTTTTACAATATTATACCAATCTTTTGAGGAAGAGCAATCCAGTTTCCTCCAGTTCCATGCTGTTCAATATAAGCTTTAAGCTTTGCATCCTCTTCAGGTGACCATGGCCCTTTCTTGACACTGGCTTTATCACAACATGGAGCTCGACCCATTTTTGGTTCTTCTTGTGTAGGGTTTTTGTGTTTGGAAAGGATGGAGGAAGAAGACCCTGGCTTTATAGGTTGAAAAAGTGGGGGAAATCTCTTTGCTTTCTATTACTTTATTTATGATTTTTTAGTACAAAAAGTAAAGTCTTCTCTCCGCTCAACCTCTCCCCCTTTACAACCCCCTAAATTAACCTCATATCATTTGTGGAATCATTAATTACTCTTATCTCTCTTACTTTTTGGATTAGTTCGGTCCTGCATCTTAAACAATTCAAGCAACTGGCCACGCTACAAATTTAAAACTTACCCTTAAAACTTTTTTAAATCTATTCATTTAGTGATGGGGAGGTGTTATAGAACCTCCTCCATCCTGTCCCTTTGTCGCCATTCTCCTGCAAAAACAAAAATGTTCATCATATATTATGAAGTTGCATAATTTGGAATGAAATTCTTGGAGTGGACAATTCACCATATATTTTAAAACAATGTTCTTCTCTCATCTTCAACGTCGTACATGGGAATTGATTACGTAACATTCAAAACCCACTACTAGTAAATGTTCTCCGTTTTGGCTCGTTACGTATCGTCGTCAACTTCATAGTTTTAAAATGCATTTACTAGGAAGAGGTTTCTACACCTTTATAAAAAAAATGTTTCGTTCTTCTCTCAAACCAATGTGAGATCTCATAATCCACCACCTTGAGGGTTAGCGTCCTTGCTAGCACATCATCTAGTGTCTAGCTCTAATACCATTTGTAATAAGTCCAAACCCACTGCTACCAAATATTGTTCTATTTGAATTTTCCCTTCTAGGCTTCCCTTCAAAGTTTTAAAACACGTATGTTAGGGAAAGATTTTCATACTCTTACGAGAAATGTTTGGTTCGTAGAATCTCACCAATTAAGTAGCTAGCAAGGGAAACTTATACTTGTTCACCTGTGCATGTCAGCCACATGGTTTGTTAACATGCATGGCCAGGCCATTATCTGAGTTATATATGAGGAGTTCCCTTCAAAAAACTCTTTCACCCCCATGAATGAATCTTTTATTTTTGGTCGATGCCAATCTGTGATTGAATTAGAGAGGAAAAGAAGGGCAATCCTTCTTTTGCCTGTAATTTATTTGATAAATATTTGTGTCGATGACTCTTGGAATTAAGAAATGAATGCTCCAAGGAACCGCACCCACATAGAAATTACAACTCGAAAAGCAACAAAACAACACGAAATTCCCAATAAACTACTCGCTCTTTCAATATTTAATACTCAAGTTTTCAATTTGAGTGAGATCCTTAGCGGCAATAACAGCATTCTTCTGCTTGTCTCTCCCCACACCAAGAATCTTATATCAAATGCCACGGACCTTTCGGTTTCATCACCAAATTAGACC